AGGGGGGGGGGAGCGGGGAGCGGGATTACGAAACGCGAAAGGGAACGGATAAAGGTGGGGCGGAGGCGCGGAGGGAGGGGCGCAAGGGTTCCGGGAAAAAGCCGGCCGCGTGACGAGAATTTCGACGAACGCTGCGCGTCGCACTTCGTCAACGTTTTGACGTTAATTTTATTCATCTTTTTGTCCCGGTGAAGCGGGCAGAGCTTCTGGAAGCTTCCGAGAGCTCCGGCGATATTAAGCCGTGATATTTCACGGTCCGTCGGAAAGCGATTAAACGCGGGAAAAACGGGCCGGAGGGATATGCGAGTGCAGGGCGAAAATGCGAAACGTTGCGGGTGCTCTGTTCCGAATTATTTCGAGAGTGAAGCGAGTTGTTCAATTTATCTCGAGCGAGTGGGCTGGGTGCATAATCTGATTGTTATGCAGAGACAATATATCGTCACCTTCCGGTCAATGTATCACACTGAAAAAAAAATTCTCGGCGTTTTTACCAAGGTCCATTGGTACCTTTACCATCTCACTCTTTTTACCAATTATTGGTAATTTTACCAAGACAGGCTGGTAAGCTTACCTAAAAACCGGTATTTCTACGGTTTTTTCCAGGTAAGAATACCACTTTTATTGGTAATCAATTCCCGGTAACTTTGCCGTTTCATCTCGGTAATTCTACCTCAGTCGATAAAAAATATTGGCGTTTTTACCAAGGTCCAGTAAAATTACCAAGAAAGTTCAATAATTTTACCGCGATTTCTCGGTGAAATTACCAATTCCATAAATGGTAATTTTACCGAGAAAAAACTGGGATCAAATAGAACCCTGAATTCTTGGTAATTTTACCCTTTTCTTAAGAAATACACCGAGATTTTTTTTCAGTGCACAAGCGCCGTGCGACGTTTCTAAATTTCCGCCGACACTTCTTTTTTTTACAGAGAAATCGTTCGACGAAGCTGTCCGAAAATTTCGCCGAATTTTCTGTAAGCTGCCGATAAAATTAAACGAAGTTTTCGAACAGATTCAACCAAGAATTTCTCTGCAAAAAAAATAAAAAGGCGATGAGAATTTTGGAACGTCACGTGGCGCATGGACAGCCAGCGACCCTGGAGTGCCGGATTTTTTCACGATAAGAGGCGATAAAATCAAAGCTTCATTCCGATGAAACACGATTCGTCGCCTCTCCGGCATAAAAGCGAATCTCTATTCCCATATGAGCCCTGGAAAGTACTGACTTATACAGAGAACACAGCTCACGTGGAATACTGGAAAAAAACACATTGTATCTAGAGTCCAGACTCTTGAAAACATGGACAAGAAAAAATACTCTTGATTCAATCTGATTTTTGCTTAAATCAAAAGGAAATCCGCTCAAATTAAGAGGCTTGGTTCGTGATTTAAGCAAAAATCCGATTGAATCAAGAGTAATTTTTTCTTGTCGATGTTTTTAAGAGTCTGGACTCCAGATCCAATGTGTGTTTTCTTTTTCCTGTGAAATCGAGATCCGCCCTTACGTCTGAGGTTCGACGAATTTTCACGTGGAAACAAAGCTATTATTTTACGAACGCTCCGATTCCCTGGTCGTTGGGAGCCTTCAGGAATCGTTTAAGAGCCGTGGAAAATCGACGGGAAAATGTGCGAGATCCCTTTCCGGAAAATTAGTCGAGTGCGTTGCGATAGACTGCCGAGCTCGCGGAATCCCTTATTCGTGTTCGTCGCGGAACCCGACGGCGCACAATGGACCGCGATAATAGGAGGGCTTGGACAAAATTTGGGAACTTCAAACGCTTGTAACTCCGTTTATACAATACTTTGAGGTTCTAAAAGAGGTTCCATTGGTTTTCTTGTAAAAGTTTCTTCTAAAAACACCCCTTGAAATTTAAAATGTGACGAATTAAACATCAAGATTTGCAGTTTTAGTCTAAAATTTCGTGTCCGTCCTCTTTGATTGACTCGATCCACTGTGCGACGAGTGCCGAGCGGTTCAATTTAGAAACATCGATACACAAAAAAGGATTCGGTAAGTGATTCGCCGAACGGAAAGCGCTTGGCTTGCATTTCCCTTTTCCTGCTCGGCGCTGGCGAGGCGTGAATGCTCGATTTTCGATATTTCTCCATTTGAAGCTGTGGTATAGAATCGATTATTTAGGTGTTCGCTGCAAACGCCCTCTTAATCGATCCTTTTCCGTGGGTTTAAATGGCAGATCAATCGATATATCGCAAATCACGTCTCAGCAGATTTTCCTTGGCGTGTTCGCTAAGGGAATTAAACGGCTTACTCGAAGGAAGGCGTGAGTGCTGTGAGATTCCTGTGGCTTTTCCGCCTTTTAGCGGCTCTGGTGCTTGCACTAGAGCTATTCCGGACGGTCCCAGCTGGGGAGTATCAACGGACCATGTTACATTGGAGAGACCGCGTGTTGGTTGATGGGAATCGGCGCCATTTTCTGCTGTTTAGGGGGGACTGATTTTATTTTAATTGATATCTTTTTCCTGTGAGCGAATGCTATGTTGTGTAGTGTATTTTTGGAATCATGGTGATACTGTCAATAATTCAAAACGGGTCTGTGCTTTAATCTCGTACTGGAAAAAATGTACTTTACGTTTAAAATTTGAAAATTCAAATCTATAAGTTTTCGCGCTTTTTTCGAAGAATGCCGTGGTTGGAGCTTCCTAGTCATACTACTCGACATCAGCTGATAGCAAACAAAGGTTACCAAGGAAACCGTAAACGCGTAACAACTACCTACCGTCGCCAGAGCCGCTTTCCGACGCGAATGCGTTGGAGCTTCCTGCTTGTTTTCAAATGGATAGCTCATACTGCCTTGCTAAGGAAGGACACTACTACAAGTTTTCCTGAAATTTTTCTCCTTGTCGTTTTTTGTTCATTGCAGTTAGTCCTATAACTGAGATGTGTTTTTTTTTTCCCTTGGGAAATTTACCCTACTTCTAATTTTTTTTTTTTTTTTTTTTTTAAAAAAATAAAGCGAGCCCTACTGGCACGCTTAATACACCTCACAAGTTCAATATTTTGGTAAAAATAATGGGGTTGTCTTCTCGAAACCAATGTAAGCTGCGAGATTTGGTCGGAACATATTCTCTCACGCTTCAAGTTTCAATGACAATTAGGACAATTGAGGGGCTTGGAGGACAAGGCGCATATTTGCCAGTGGCGTGGCGTGAATTGCGATGTATCGATTGTTACGCTATTTAAACCAATGGAGAAGGATCGATGAACAGAGTGTTCGCAGCGAACACCTTAATACTCGATTTTTTACCATATATGTTTAAATGGCATAACAATCGATATATCGCAATTCACGCCACGCCACTGATGTTTGCAGTTTTGAGAAAATTGATATATTAATGATTTAAGTAAAACTACTCTTAATGCATATTCTGTGAGGATTTCACTTCGAATTTCAAGCATCAGAAAGTCAGTTTGAACTTTCTTCCCGTTATAAGGATCCATGAAATTTCGAAACTTCAAACATGTATTTCTCGAAATAGCAAAAACTGCACTTATGCGCCTTGTCCATCAAGCCCTTCAATTCAAAAAACAACCTCAAGGGGCAGAAATACGTGTATTAAATCTAAAAACTGGCGATTCCGAGACAGCGAAGCTCAAAAACCCGGAAACTCGGGTGGCTGCAACCGCGGACGACACAACAGCGGATGACTGCACGAGTAATCTCGAGAACGAGCCAAAATTTTCGCGACGGTCGAGCTTTGAGCTTGGAGCTTTCGGTGAGGGATTGGCATTGGCGAGCGTGTTGCCGCCGGCGCGTCTCCGAGACGATCCAGCGCTACAGCATTTCTCTCGCTCTTGGCGGAGCCGCACAAAATTCTCCAAGTTTCAACGCGAGCGGAAGGGACCACCGTAAGCTCTCGCGCGAAAATACCGGAGCGGTTTCCGCCACGCCTCGGTTGCTCCTGATTTTTCGAGCTACGTGACTTCATTTTAGAAATTCTTCCGTCATTTTAGTAGTCGCAAGTTGGCCACAGAGATTTAGAGCTTGAATACGTGAACTTTTCAAGGATTTCCTCGGCCAGTAT